TTTGCCAATGTTTAGCTTCATAGTTAACGCTACCATTTAATCTAGCCATTTACCTACCGTGGATAGGCTAGTAACAAAATGTGAACTAACTCGCTCTAAAAGAATCGAGCAAGTAGAGTTACATGTCAGTTTAGCCCGCAAATATGCCTGCTGTAGCTGTTTATATCCAGGGCCGTTGCTCGCCATTTGGGTGCCCTAAGCATGGTGCCCCACCAGCCCACCCTGCCCCGTCTCGCCCGGAATGAACAATAATTCAGAATTTATCAGTGCGATTCTCTTTATTTCCAAAACAAATACACCAAACATGGAAGTTAAAATAATTAATTATTTAAAATACATAAATAAATAATTAACTACAACTATCATTATTATAAACAAAGTTCTGAGCAATGACTTGAGACTAAACACTGAACTGAACATTGTAAACACAGAATAAGTATATAATTTTGTAAGTAACAATGTGCAAATTTCTTTGGTAAATAATGCACATAAGTACAAATAATTGCACATTAGAATTTATTCAATCAGGGAACTTTAAATAAAAATTAAAAAGAGAAAATTTCAGAAAGAGAGAGGTCGATGGATTCTGTTTGGGCTGGCACTGGCTTCTCACCTCTCCCCGTGCACTTTGGATGGATAGTTTTGCAAGGAATCATGAGTATGATTTTTTGGTGGTGCCCCTGCAAGCACTTGGTACCCTACACACTGTGTGTAGTGTGTGTGCGGAACGACGGCACTGCTTATAACTTCAGTAAAGCCGACTATCATATTATGTAAACTTGGTTTAGTCCCGATCTAGTTCCACTGGTTTAGTCTCAGTTGAGTCTCATTTTGATGCTGTTGTTTCAGTCCCCTGTTCTGACAGAGGATGATTTCAGCACAGTGTCCAGTGTGGATGAGCTGCTCCAGCTGCTGCTCCCCGAGTATAGTCTGCTGCAGCACTGTCTGAGGAAGAAGTCATGGCCTTCATCTTTTTCCTCTGCTGTTCCGCCACTGCAGCCTGATGACGATCTGTGGCGTCCAGAACCCGTTTATAAATTTGATGGAACTTTAGGAGGTAAAAACTAAATCTCTTAAGTTGGATTGCATACAAGAGTGAAGTAGGCTGCTCCAACATGTTTGTATTGTAGTGATCCTTGAAGAGATCCAGAAGACTTCCTGCCAGCCCAGAGAAGTGTGTGTTGAGGTTTCCAAAGAATACCCTGACTCCACGAGCCAGCTCTACCTCCCTCGATGTGTGGCTCTGCACCGCTGTGGAGGATGCTGCAACACTGAAGCCTTCTACTGCACAAATACAAGCCATTCTCTGGTCAATAAAACAGTGAGTCCCAATAATCTGATTACTATCTATGTTGGCAGACATATTGTCTGCTGTATTCAGTTAACTGCTAGGACCTTATAATATTTAATAATAAAAGCTTTGGAACCTGATCATCATGGCGTTTAACTCACTGGCTGCATATGAATAGCCTACTATACAGCCAGGTTAGATCTGAACTTTTTCTCTTTTCTCAACCAAAGTATAAAAAGTATACAGAGCGTATACTAAACAATAGTCTAGCACTTCAAACTAGTACATTTCTTCTTTTAGCTAATGGAGCTTACCCCACCCCGCATGGAAAGGGCTGTAGTCATGGTAACCTTTGTCAACCACACTTCATGCGAGTGCTTATCCAAGAGGCCTCTGCACAGCATCATAAGAAGAGCCACAGACCACCTGTGAGTAAGATCAGGAAACTTGGGTTCATTTATGTCTGGACCGTTCATATGATGTCTGTATGTTTGTAGGTGTTCCCCGCCTGACATTCCCTGTGCTGCAGGCTCACTGTGGGACCCTGTCAGCTGCATGTGTGTCTCTATGGAGACCATCAACTACTCCCAGCGAGAGACAGGTAAGAACAGACAGACATACATACACACATAAAGGAGCACTGGGTTACTTTTTGGTTGGGATTCTGTCACCTTGCTCTTGTCTATTGATATGTTATTGCGCTGCCTGCCATGTTCCACAGTATGATATTAAGCAGCTTTACCTTTCAAATACAGGTGGTTTTATTGCTCAAAAATACCTAGGAAAACAGGCATTCTGACTGTGAGCAGGATTGCCTCTCCACAGATTTGTTGGTAACTTGGTTTGGTTTGGTCTCCATGAAGATGGAAAGGTTTAATACCATACTATGTAACATTCAAGACAAAGCAATAACATCACCATGGAGAAAAGCATTTGATGGACCCTCCACCAGAAAAGTTCTATATTACTTAATCCTGGTGTTTGAAAATATTTTTGGAGCGTCCATAAAACTACAGCTAATCATTGCTCTCGCTCCTGCTCAGAGGTTCTGGACTCTGGCTTGCTGGCTCTGTGTGGGCCTAACAGAGTTTTGGAGGAGTCGACTTGTGAGTGTGTGTGCCGAAACGGCCTCACTGAAGCCAGCTGTGACCTGGGCTGGAAACTGGACCATGACACCTGTAAGAGACACCCAGGCTATATGTTCAGTCCTGGTTATTTCAGGTAATAAATAGTCTTTTCTACAGGTGAATGTCAGTGTGAGGGTCCGGGAGAGGGGAAGTGGTGCCCCTCTGGACAAAGATGGGACGAGGATCTGTGCGGTTGCGTGTGTGATGCTACATGCCCCGGTAACCAGCCCCTGAACCCTGACACTTGTCTGTGTCAGTGCAGAGAGAGCCCACAGACCTGTCTACGGCAAGGCAAGAGGTTCAACCCCAACACATGCAGGTGGGTCCACAACATTGTACAGGCCTGTCACATAACAAATTTTGAAGATATATTGCTGAACGATAAATAATATTATTGAAACAAATTTATGCCACTGACAAAAAAACCCAAGAGCAGATTTAAACCACAAAACCTATTCTAAAACTAAAATGGTGTCACAAAATTATGAGCTACAATAAATAAATAGAAGAATGGAACACTTACATACTTAATTTGCATCTGTAATGAATCAGTTATTAATTAAAATTTTACAGCTTAAATCTTATCATATAGTCAAAAAACCAAGAATGGTCTCCCAGTAGTAAAAGTGTCAAAGAAATTGTTCACATGATAAATACTGACCCCTAAAATGTTTTTCTAGCTTTCATATATTGAACGATAAGTCGATACAATTATCATGGCAGGCCTAGTTGTATGTTAGAGTTGGGAAGGGATCATACCTAACATATTGAATTGTCATGTATCCCTTTATTCTATCAGTATTGCCCTAGCACATACAGATTTTGGTAGGTTTTTACACCAGAGGCCCTTTCGGATACAACCACCTACAATAACTGGAAGGGCAATGTGAACCTTTACTGAACTGTCCAATTTCGGGTCTCAGTTCAAAGCTATTCCTTCTTCTGAAAACCCCAAATTACGTTTACGCGGACTGGCATAAAGTCATGTCAGAAATTGCTGTCACAGCCACTTAGCTGGCACATATGTAATAAAACAGAAGCCAAAAAAAGAAGCTGATACATCCAGAACTCTCAATGGACATGTCAAACATTCCTCAGACAGAAAATATCTCCTTACTGTTTCCGTTGCTTTGGTGTCCCAGCCTTTTATGGAGATTTGGCTTTCCTAATGTGTACCCATGTTGTGTGCACATTTCATGCGTGTTGCGGTTCCCACAGGCAGCATGCTGTGGCCTGCTCCTCCTCTGACCTCATGGCCCTGCAGAAAGAGTGAACTTGGTGACAGTGAGCAAAGCAGCCAGAGAAGAGACTGATAGAATTTTGCATGTCAGTGTATACTCTATTTAACCCAAAATTAACCCTAAAATATGGGAAAGTTCAACCAGATCAGAATATGAGACTGCAATGGAGTCCAAAACGTAAGCCTAATTAATGTTTTCTGACAAATACAATCTGTAACTCCTAGAACTCCTCTAACAGCAGAGTTACAAGGCGTCGATCCCATATAGAGTGGACTGGATCAGATATTGGAGTCTTCATTGTTGATGCATCCATTTTCCAAGAAAACAACAGAACTCAACAGCATTTCCATGAACTGAAGAAAAAACCTCCAGTCTTTGATAGGGGATAACAGCATGTGGGTGTAAAGACTGAATCATAAAAAAACAATCTTTTAATGGTGTTCAGTAAAGTGAAAATGAAGGGCTCAACATGGTGAATTCTGTCTCAGCAGGATAAGAAATACTTATATAAAGTGTTATGTGGTGATTTTTACATTTTGATGATGATTTTTACATCTCCAGATACAAAAGTAATAGCGTATATTAGGTTGATTATATTTTAATTTTTTTTTTTTCAAAAGACACAATTTGCTTGTCTATGGGAATTTTTACCATGACTTTAACAGTATATTTGTTGTGCAGTTGTTACAGGCTACCATGCAGGAAGCCCAGACGAGTGTGCCAGGCAGGATTTTACTACAGCCACCATGTCTGCCAGTGCATCCCCAACTACATGAGGCCAGAGTGGAACTAACACAGCACTGGAGGATGCTACAGCAAAAGTTCCCGGAAAGTGATTTACTGATTAAAACTTACTGGGATGTTTGATGCACTTGGCCCTGTGCCCTGTGTAAATACCACAGTGGTAACTGGAAGCACCCGGTGATACCTGGGGGCGGTGTAAAAAAGCATGACAAGGAGGCGGGCTTGTCCAATCAGAGGAGGCTCTGCGGCGGCGTGTTGGAGCAGGACGCTAAAGCCCCCATGGCAGCATGAAACGGAAAGTGGAATAACATAATAACAGAGCTCGCTCCATACTTTCACCAGACTGCGTTAAATACGCTCAAGGCGACAGCAAATGAGATATCTGAGAGGACGTATTCACTACACGCGTAACATGATGTCAGTGCATGTCCTATGTAGAAATGATAGGTGTGTGGCCCATCCAAGTACAATACTGTATTGTACCTAGATTTTTCTTGTTCCGAAAGAGACTTAAAAATGTCCCATATTTTCAAAGCTTAATTCTTTGCCATGACTGTCTGTAGGCCCTATTGATGCTTTTTGAGGCCTTCAATCACCAATCAAGTATCATTACATTTGGGAAAACCTAGCCTTGTAATTTATGTATTATGAACTGTAAATATTTTATTTAAAATTTGTGATTGTTAAATGTTGTATTTAATGGAAACTGAAAAATTCCTTTGTAAATATTGTTATTGCCAGTAATTCGTGGTACAGTTGTTGCAATTCTAAGGTTATAGTTAAACATAAGCAAGCGTACAGATAAACTTGTTTAGCCTGGCCAGACAAGATTATGCTTTTCCCAGTCTGGATTTAGGCAGGCTAATAGTTACTCTCAAAAATAGGGACTTGTGTGCAAATAATTTCCCCCAGATTTAAAATTGGATACCTCAGCATTAAACTTCAGGGTAAAAATGTGAACAACACTAGTGCTCAAGTACTATGTAGAGAAATAAAACCATTAAACAGCCAAACATGGAACATCTACTTTGGTAGTGTAGACACACCTGTGCAGTATTCCCATGGTATCTTGTTTCAGGCCCCCTCCTCCACAGCCCAGTCTGTCTGCTACAATAAAACAATATCACAGTGAAGTAAAGCAGAGGCTCTCGTGTCTGTCCTTTACGATCTGCTGGGCAAAGAGGATCATGTAGTGACTTATACAGACCAACGTCAATGAGTAGAAATTATGTAGTTTTTCAGATTCAACCATGACATGCAGATTCTTCCACTGAAAAATTTGGTTTAGGCGTGCTCAGACTGCCTCAAGCCACTACGCATAAATACCAAGGTCTTTTGAGTGCACCTGGTTATGTCGCTACTGCAAATCATCATTATATTATTAAAACAATTAAAAGTGGAGACAAAGTTTAAGGCCAATTATAATAAACACTCAATTATTCTGCTATGACTAGAGTTAGAATAAAAAAAAAGTTTGTGTAAGAGATTTTATTTTTAGATTTTAAGACCAAAATATAAACCCAATGCCAACACCCTTTACAGTGCAAGCTATTGAAACTCTTCAAATATTTACAAAAGATAGAAAATAAAGCATAAATAAATAGAATGATGTGGCTCCCAGTAATACTTACAAAATATGGTGCCGTAAGAAGACCATTTATGTAAATCACTTGATGCTATGGTCCTGGACATGTCAGTCGAAATAAAATGTAGTTTACAATTGCGGCTGCTCCAATGTTAAAAAAAGAAATTAGCAAGGACAAGGAGCACATCCATCATGGTTATTGCCAAAATAAGAGTAATTTTTACATGAATACAGTAATAAATACATATCATATTATAAAATGTACCCGATAGAAAAGCCAGCAGTGACTAATATGCTTTCAACAAGAGAATGTGAAGTCTGCCCTCTACTGGACATAATGACTCAAAGGGAAAAAGTAGCTGAGACCTTCTTTAACCCAAGCACAGCTGCAAAAATACATTTAGTTTTTAATAAAACATGTATGATAAAACCTTCATAAAGAAGATGCAATGAATCTGGAGCCACTTGAAGTTTAGACTTTGAGCCTAAATACTGTGAACTTTTTAAATAACATGGCATGCATAAAAGGCTAGAGATGTTGTAAGCATGAACTAAACAAGTGCAAAAAAGCAAAAATAGAATCATTTTATGGCTTACAAATGCAAAAATAGAAATCCCAGTGATAGAGGAGCAGTCAGAGTCTGGTTTCACAGCTTTAGTCCAGTTTTAAAGCCACAACACTTCATGTAGAATCCCTGTGAAGGTGCTAGACACAGGTCCAGAGCAGGCACTTCAGCACTGTTCAGTAGTCTCTCACAGAGCGGCTCATTATTGTCTCAGGCTGCAAGTCACGTACTGCAGCAGAAAACTCACGCTTTAGCAGTCTCTTCTGCAATTTACCAGTTTAAAAACACAGTTACTGACATTCTCCTACAGAAGAGTTCGTTCAGGATGCTTAAATCCACCATACAAAGAGATCCAGATTTCAGAAGACATTCAACTGGTGCCTGGAGAAAAAGCAAAATTTTAATATGTAACAAAAACAAAGTTTTTAATACCACCCCTATAGAATTTATGATACCCAACAAGTGAATTTGAATCCATTTCCTGTTCCCACCTGTTCTAACCAAAATTAGGGGATCAATATCAAGACATTCTACATATTTTACATTTTAAAATCATAATGTAAAATAATTTATCAAGATTTTTTAATTGCCATTAATTTTAACATTAATTATGAGTACTTTATTTAAATATAAATTATGAGTAACCCCACCCTCAAACCTTACTACAATGCAATTACATACATTGGTAAAATATACTCTAAAATAAAGTAACCAAATGAGGCTAGGCAATTAATTATTTAAAATTTAACTGAGATCCAGGTATTTTAAAAAGCATACTACACTTCAATAGTATGCTAAGTGCCCACAGCCAATGCTTTTTCATGTGGTTTGGAGCATAGAACAGTTTTTTGTGTTAAATGAGTCTGCTTTGTTAAATGTTCACAAAACTGAAAAATACTCTCAAACAAATAAAAATAACAAGCAGATACATAAATCATGACTGAAGAATATAAGGTTAAATAAAATTGTGATTACATATTGGCCATATCGGAACAAATGTTGCTGTGCACTCACCCTCGTCATCAGAGTCAAATCCAAAGAGGCTGGAGCACTTCTGTTGGAGATGCCACTGCAGCTCCTGTTCGCTGCTGAACGTGGTGAAGCAGTTGGCACAGCGTTGTCTTTGCTGGGAGACCTGCGCTGAGGCCTCGGGGGTTTTGGGGACTTTTCGGGACGTCCCAAAGAACATGGACATGTCTTTTCTCCGTTTGGGCATGACGGTGAACCTCTCCTCCAGGTACGCAGTGGCTGGAAGTCGCATGTACGGTTTCTTCTTGTATTCGCTAAGAGCTTTTTCAAACGTGGCCAGTGGACTCTCCTCCTCCACCGGCACAAAGTCAAATAAACTATGGTCTTTTAAGCAGGTCTTGTCTTCAGCTTTCTTTGGGATTGTTGGTTTAACTTTATCAAAACACTTTTTCTTTGTATTTACATTCTTATCGCTACTACCTTGCTTAATACTCGTTTGGCTGTTTCCGTCGGTGGGAACAGGTTCACCGTTGACTTCACTGGAGCTGGAGAGGGACACTTCTGAATCAGTTGTTTTTGCGGGAATTTTATGAGATTTTGGTTTGACAGTTTTAGTTTCTGATTTTGACTTTTCTTTTTTCATTTTCTTAGAGGTCTTGTCATTTTTAATAGCATTTCCAGGTTTCTTCTCAAGTTTGGTTTGCTTTTTGTCAGCTTTCTTGTTTGTCAAATTGGATTTCATTTTAAGATCTACTTTATTTTTCTGTCTAATTTTAACAACTTTGTCTTTCTCTTTTGGTGTTTCATTCACATTAACACACATTAGAGAATTAGCAGCAGGTGCAGAATCTGTAGTTTGCACTTGGTTTCCTTCACTAGTGGAACTTTCTTCAACTGATGCTGGCCCGACCTCAGTTTGTGTATCCGATTTGAACTTTTTAGAATCATTTGGTGAATTGTCAACTTCATTTTTCCTTTTTGATGGACTATCTTGATCAGTTTTATCCTTTTTGGATTTGACTAAAGTTTTAAGTGCAGATAAAATTTCATTTTTGTTGCCCAATTTTGACTTTCTCTTCTCACTCTCCACAGACTTCTCATTCAGACTATTGGATGTGCTAGTAGATCCATTTGTAGACTGGACTGAGATCTGCACAGAGTCACCTTCAGTTGTCGTCATCTCCACATCTTTGAGCTCAACTTGTTCAGTTTTTGAGGTGGTAGCAGAAGATTGGGCTTCTTTCTCATTTGTTGCCAGATCTGTACTTTCCATCTTGTTCATAATTAAATCTGCAGCAGTTTGCTCACATTTCTTCATTTCTGTCATGTTTTCAAACACGCTGTGATTAGTATTATCTGTGGATGTGTCTGCCATTTTTGTCAGTGCACTCTCTTCATTTGAATCTTGCATAAATTCTGATTCACTTGTAACAGGGGGTGGCTCAGTGACATGGTCAGTAGTTTCAAGCCTCAAGTCTCCTCCTTCAGCATTTTGTGGTGATGCTACATTTTGTACTAAGGGCATAATAATAAGGGGATTAATTGGGATTTTTGAAGAGGAAATTGAGTCAGCCATGTTGGAATTTTCTTCAGTAACTTTTCCTGGCACCACTTCATTCACCTCATCTGTATTTACAATGGTGACGCAGTTTATAGGGTCGATTTCTGAAGAATCTGTTATGGTCATTTTTAATTTCTTCAGCTCTGAATTGTCAAAATCTGCTGCAGATTCTCGCTCATATTTTTCAACTCTGAAGGTCTCAGTGTCTATAATTTTTGTTTCTGTCACATTTTTCACAACTGGTGCATGTTCATCCTCTATATGTTCATTTTGTGCCAATACTTCATTCACATTTTCAACAACTATTTTTGACCCATCGCTTGTGGTTTTTGACGTTTTATTCACTTCACACTGAAAAGCAACAATCTCCACAATATTAGAAGTCTCCTCCTTACAGATGGCCATTTCCATATCTTCTGAACTGTCATTTGAGCTCTTGGTATCACTGACTGGTACCATATTATCAGTTGTGTCTGTGGTATCCATATTTGCATTTTCCTCCATGACGGGCCTGTCCACAACCGGAGCTGCTGGTTCAACCTTTCCAGCAGATTTTGCCCTTTCAGAAATGAAATTTGAATTTCTTTTCAGAATCTTTCCAGTTGAGCGGATCTTAGCAACGCTTTCAGGCTCGTCAACTTTTGCTTTGGGTCTAGCTGTATTTTTCTCACCCTCTTTTTCTTTTCGTTTATGGACTACTGATGTTTTTGATTCTTTCTGTGATTGAATGATTTTGCTACTATTGTTTAGGGAGGTTTTTGCTTGTCTAGGAGGAAGCACTTTGCTAGATAAGCATTGTTTTGATCGGTTTCCCTTCTTTTGTAATGAGTGATGCAATTTGTTATTTGGTTTTCCCACTGAAGACACAATTTTGTGAGCGATTTGCTGGTTGTTCACCATGTTGTTTTTGATAATTTGCCTTTTTCTTAACTTTTGCAGTAGCCTTGTAGCAGCGGCAGACTGTGCAGATAACTTCTTTTTGTGAATAGTAGAATCTTTTGTCTTTTTTGTATCATTAGAATGTGATTTGGAGATGGAACTAGAAGAAACATTTTTATTCGACTTATTGTTCTTTTTAGTTACATCCTCTTGTTTCTCTTGCTTTATTTGGGTCCTTTCTGGCTTTTCCTTTTGCGTTGCTTTCGACCTTATGGAATAGTGGTCCTTCTCGTGCAGGATGAGTTGCCATAGACAGATGAAGAGTTTGGGACAGCCAGGGAGGCAGCACATAGCCTGCAGTGGGCTGTGCTTTCTTGCGTGTCTCCTCATCTCTATTGTAGTTTTAAACCTGGCGGTGCACCCTTTATGAGGACATGGGTGACGTGGTACGAATCTGTGTCTTTCCACATGATGCTGGAAATGCTCAAAGCTATACAATACTCGTTTACAAATGCTACACTTGTTGTTTGACATGTGAAAAGCTAACTCCAGAGGTCTTGTGTTGGAGTAGTGGTCCTCCAATGCGTGGTGCACAAAAAGCGCTACTTGGTTTTTAACTGTGAACCACTGGCATCCATCCACTGGGCAGCACAACTTGTCCCGAGAATCAATGTTTTTGTTGATTTCCCATTGTTTCTTTACTTTAGATTTCTTCTTTTGTTTAAGTTTCGGTTCAGATGAAATAAGCACAGGCTCCTCTTTTTCAATTTTAACAGCAACATTATGCTCACTTCCATTATTTTGATCAATTTCATGACTTCTTCGTCGTAGTCTTGTTTTTGTAATTAAACTGTCATTCTCTTTCCTCCTTCCAAAATGTCCATTTGCTTTATGTATTGGGGCTTTGCTCATCATATCCTTTGAACTGCCTTGTTCTTGTTGCATAGCATGTCGAAATTTGTAGCCAGATCTTAATTTTCTGACTGGTGGGATTGGTTTCTTTTTCCTCCCTCTTTTCTCATTCAACACCGTTTTGGTTTTGCTGGACATTTTAACATTCCCAGTTTTATGTTTTTGTTTATCTTTGGTCCTGGGTTTCTCCGGGGATTTGGCAGCGGTGGGGTTTTGGAGCTTCTTGAGCTTCTCCAGGTGGTTGGACAGGTGAATCATCGCTTTGAGGTTGTTTCTGAAAGTGACCCCACAGAACATGCACTCGTCTTTGCGATAGTGAAACATGGCGTGCGCTACCAAATGACGGCCTTTGACGTCTTTGTGACAGAAGTGGCAACAGAATTCCAGTTTGGATTCTTCGCATTCTGGCTGCGGCTCCATTGGATCAAAACCATCATCTTCCCAGGCTGTATCTGAAGGAGGAGCAGAAGTTGTTTTATCCAAATTATCCTTCTCAATTTTGGACTCTGTAGGGGCACTGTTAACTTCCACTGTGTCTTTAAAGTCTTCTTGATTTTGGGGCATTTCAGTTTTGATCGCTGTTTCTACTGTTATAGCAGGCAATTTGTTTGCATTGTCGATTGTTTTTTGAGTGACAATATTTTTTGCTTCCAATTTAGACGTGCTGTCAACTTCCACAGTGGGTTTGTCTTTGGGTACTGGACTATTTTCTGTTGAAGTTAAGTCTTCTTTGTTTGGTGTTCCATTTACAAGGGCTACCTGATTTGTAACAACAGGATCCTGACATGTCGGCTCCTCATTGGTGGAAACTGGTGGAAGAGGATAACTAATTTGATCCTTTTCAGGTCTTGGCACATTTGAGTTTGTATTTGAAATATGTTCTATGGTGCAAAGGGTTTTCTCTAGTTTTGGGGAGTGCCTGTTGTGAGCAGCAACTTTGACTTCCACCTCAACATCAGACTCCGAAATAGCTGCGACCAATGAAGCCGACCCAGTGATTTTGGGTTCAATTGCTATATCTGCGTCTTTCGTTACAACGGTCTTTTCCGGCAGCTCGCATTTTTCCCTAGTGCTCCTGAGAATTTTATCTGTCACTTGTGGCGTTTGTGATGAGATGGTGACTTTCATCTCCACTGCAGATTTATCACTGAGCTGCTCCTTATTCGGGGGGTCTAGTTGTCCTGAAGAGCGAGTTATAGTTGAAGATGAGCCTTGTGTTTTTGTCCAGACCTTTTTCCCTTTTGGTTTACGGGCATAACAGTGTAGCATTTGAAAGAAAGAGGTTGCGTCTTGTGCTTTGAGTATAACTTCATCTCTCAAGCTAGCTTTCTCAGGCAAAGTTTCGGAGGGAACTTTGACAGTTGGCTTGTAAAACAACATTTGGGGCAGGCCTCTGTGTCTGTTGCAGGGCTCATCATTAAACATACCCAATAGTTCATTATCTGGCAATGATAGCTCCAAAACCACTTGTGGAGCAGTGGAGTCAGTTTGGGAATCCGATGGTACTTCTTTTTGTTGTTTCTTCTCATTTTCCAATTCGGATTTCACTTTCTGTTTTGTGTTGTTCTTGACTACCACATTCCTCCTTCTGAGAGGTAAGTATGGTAAACTTGGGTACTGTCCTCCTCAACAGAGGAGCGTTCTTATCTAAAGTTCCTGAGTCTTCCAGAAGCCACTTTGGAGTTCTGATCATGCGTTTGGCTGGGACTCTCTCAGAAAGCCGAGTGGTACGCCTGTTTTCCCAATAATCCAAAGCTCTGTTGTGGTGTAGTCTGTCCAGCTGCCAAAACGAGGAGCGCCGCATCGGTTCTGAAGACGTGTCCTTCCATTGCTTTGTACCTTGGTTTCCCTTCTTTTTCAGGGGGAGGTGTTTATTGAGTCGAGGTCTTCCTACTTTCTTTGCAGGGGCTTTATCTTTGCCATCCTTTTGTTGGTCTCCTTTATGTAGTTTCTTTTTCTTGGCCATTGCATTTTCCTTGGTGCTTTTTGATCTGCTTGATGAAGAACTGTTCTCTTTGCGGCAGTAGCTAGGGACCCACTTTTCTTCCATGATTTCCACTAGAGCAGCACTCAACACTTTCTCATTCATAAGTTTCAAACAGTTTGTCCTCAAAGCAATAAGGTTCCAGAACTCTGGGTCAAAGTATAAATCCTTCTTCAGAGTCTAAACAAAACAAAATGGTAAAAATTACTATAATGATACTTCCACACCAGGCTGTCCTATTTGAACAGGCACTTACCTGCAGCGTTTCAAAGCGAACACGATTTCCAATTGGACAGCAATCAACATGATATTCCTGATCAGGATGCATATATAAAATGTATACCATCTTATAAGCCTCAACAGAGCGCTCCAGAAAAAAAACGAGGAGGGCACATGCGCGGCAGATCTCCAGGTCGTTGGGCACAAGGCTTGCCATCGTTTTGTAAATTAGAGACTTTGTGATGACATCACAGGGAAGGCAAGAGCGCAGGGCATTAGCACATAGCTCCACACAGAACTGTACACCCTCTTCACTCAACTGGAAAAGACAAGAAAAATAAGTATTAAATGAATATATGAAAACTATTTCTGAAATTAACTTTCGAATTAACAGTTCACCTCATGTATTATGACACGAATAAATGGAAAAATAGCATTGACATTGGTGGCAGACAAAATCAGCTGTTCACACTCTTCAAGAAGAAATTCTTTTGATGTTTTTAATCGGCGGTGAAGTCGGCCCCATATAGAGACCAAGTCACTTTAAAATAAAAATAAAAAAATAATATTATTCAAAAATATTATATGAGCTAAATAAAGTCACTTACCACAAAAAGTGCATGTCTCCTCTGCACAGCTGTAGAGAGAGAAATGCTCTGCTGAAGTCCAGCAGTAGCTCATCATTTTCTTCACTCTCCAAACTACACAAAAAGTTCACTGCATCTTTCCCACTGAAGTCCACCAACTGAGTAAACAAGAACAAGTATTGCACTTAACACAGAGTAGCTCAAATCAAAGGTGAAGCAATTGATTTAAACTAACCTCCTCAAGTAGGCATTCATGCTGTGATGTTTTGTAAAGCCCGGTGAGGTAGACCTGGTAGAAGAACAAGTGCTGCCCAACTGAGGGATGCTGAGCACAACACTTGGCCAGGGCCTGAGCCTCAGGAAGCCGCTGACACGACAGAAGGTAACGCACTCGCAGCTCAAAGAAAATAGGAGGCTCAGAGCTGATGCAATCTTCCACTATGAGAAAACAGTAAGAACAAGTTATACAAAAACAGCCCAATTCCAATCTATGTAGAGACAGAGAAGAAAATATCATGTTTTACCTTCTGTCTGAGGTAAAGTAGATTCACTGAGAATGGCATGTAAAGTTGGGCTTGCCCAAGGCCCACCAGCTCTAAGCAATCGCTCCACCTGAAGCAAGTGAACATTCTGATATTTCACAAGGGCCGAGCAACATTCCTGGAAAAAGCAGATGAAATAATTAAATCATTCTGTTTTTTGGGTCTAGTCAAAATCATTGATGATTTCTCACCTGGAATGTAACGGTGATCTTTTTTAAAGGATCTTGATCAAAGTCCCTCTGGTCAAAGAAAAGCAGCAACTCAAAAATACTTCTGTAGAGGAAACACGTGTGTTCAATACATCACCCACATAAATAAACCATAGTTGTACTGAAGTAAAAACTGGAGCTTTTGGGTTGTCTACTCACAAGGCAAGACTGCTGAGTGTATGGAGCACGTGATCACAGTTCACTGTGAAGAACACAGAGGCCTGGGTGAAGCAGCATAGAGCCCTCTCCAGGATCCTGAGCTGTGGCAGTGGCACCTTCCAACGCGATGCATAATATTCCACCAGCTGCAGACAAAGAAACAACACAGGTGTAGAACAGTGACGGGGCTGTGGCTGGGCTCAGTGGTAGAGCAGCTGTGCGTGTGCAACTTGCATATAAAATAAAAATATTAAATAAACACAGAGTGCACACTTATTAGCACTGGCTCCTGAACCAAAGTGGTATGGTTTTGCAGGATGTAAAATGGATGCGATGCAGTCACATAAGAGCCTTGTAGACTTTGACAGTTTGCAGTGGATGCTCCTGCACAAGGCTGCCTAAAGCTATGTACAGTACATGCCCACTTGTCATCTATACCACAAACCACTGCAAAGTCCAGTGCTAAAACTGGACACTCCCCCAGCAGTTTTCTCCTGCGTGTGTTCAAGGCTATAGCCTACAAGACACTAACAACCTAATGTCTAAATACACTGTTTTACACCACTTAGTCCTTTACTGTTCATCAGACACTGGGGACAGTATGTTGTGTCTAGTGCATTGTAGAACTGGTGGCCATTTGATGTAGCAAAATAAACTTTAGCTAAAAAGGTTAGGCTACAGTAAAATGATGAAAAGTGTTTAATAAAACAAAAGGAAACCATAGTATGCTTCAAAGAGACATCAACTCAGTAATCTAGAAGAGTATTGCGTAGTAAATAAGAGGTGTATAGACTATTCAATTATTAAATTAAGCTTAAGATCCACTAATGAACACAACTTTTGAGTCAATTGCTGGCTAGCTGGATCTGGATCTAGTCAGAATTTGCACTGTTAGCTAGCTAGCTAGCCATGTAGCCAGCTTTGTGACAGTTTAAATAGTGTATTCACACGTATGCACAAACAACCTTGTGTAAATATGATTCTTGGTGCGACATTAATACCTAAAAGTCACTGCCGTAATGTATTTTTTCTTAGATAACAACACTAGCAATAGTTGTTAGCCATCCCAGGGCTACAAGTAGCAATCTTGTGAGTTCTGGGGGAGGGGAGTCGCTAACAATATGCACTCTTATTTATGACAACTATACTGTCACAGGTCTAAAATAACATTTCTTACCTTGCAAAAGCTCGAGCAGAAAGGTTTGCTATCGGCTTGTAAATCATTGTACGTGAAACGGCTGAACAAAGTCTGTAATTGTTGTTCAAGCCTCTTCAGGTCGTACACAGTGCCCTGCTCCGCCATACTGGCTGTCTAGCCCTGCTCGTAGCAGCAGCACACAACACACACGCCACCTGACCAACACACTGCACTTTTGCACTCACAACACTGATTGGCTCTAACAACGTACAGTACCGGCGTGTCGGCGCTAGCCATTACACTGGGCCAAATTATCCTTTAATTTAAGCTTATCACAACAATAGAGTCACGTCATCTGTTGTGCAGTGTATGCGCCAACACATGGCAGGTATAAGCATGTCGATAAATATCATTCAGCCATCTAAAATGTATTGTTTAATTAATTCCATTTATTCATTATTTATTACATTCATTAAAAAGATCACATTGCATTTAAATCCAGACACAACCAGGCTCAAAGTGTAAAAGAAAACACAGCCACATCCTCTTAGAGTGGTATTCAGCCTACAGCTCACATACACACTCAAGTCTGATCATCTCACATGATTATCTCACAAATGTATAGCATATACATAAAGAAATGCAGAAAATAATAACAAGAAAATAATATGCCTATATACAGCAGAAATTCACATATCTAATGTAACAAAATAAGACATGTATGTAGGCCTAATGGTTTATGGATACACAAGGCCACAATGAGTAATAAAGGTACTTTCTAGACAAGACTTCTGAAGCTATGAGAAATGTAATATTCAAAGTAAACAATGCCCTACATTTCCACACAATCTTCAAGTAGCATCAAGACTTTAAAATGTAATTTAATATAGAAAGAAATCAAAAGTTAAACTATTCTCAATGAAAATGAAACCCTCAAACATTGCCTCTAAACTATTTGTATGTTTATAACAAAACAATTTCTGCCAGTCACATCTCATCAGTTGATTCTGACATAGAGCGCTCTCTCCTTTCCCGATATGTGACGAAGTTGAGCAAGTCCACAGCCGTTACCACACCAAAAACCATCTGCTTCAAGGAGGGGGAGCCGTCTGTCAGGTCTGGTATAAAACAAACAGGGAAATATATGTGAATATTACAGTCATATTCAAGAAAGTAAACATTAAGTAAAAGAACAGAACTATTGTGATATTGTCTGACACCCAAACATGTTATAAATGCCCTCTTTAACCATAATCTGCATCAAATGTTCTCTTGTCCTAATCAACAGTACTAGACTTAAATTATTTGTATAATGGTCAACAACAATTACGTGGGTACAAGTTATTCAAATTCCTCAGTCTAAATTCTGCAGTCTAGCTGAATAATCATTCTTAGGTTATTAGACCCAATTACAAACCCTCACAGAATATGCATATAGAGCCTGGCCAAATGTTATGCTTATTTAGTGCAACAAACGTTGTAATTTTTTTCTAACGGTTATTTAACCAGTAGATGGCGCCAAAGTCAAAGCTTTAATAGTTCACGGGCCTACCAGTACTTCATGCTAATAAACTTACATTGAATCTGTTCATGTACGACCAGAGCAAAATGGTCAGTCTCCAGAATGCGTGATACTTTCCCCAGGCTGTCAGTCAGATGAACCTGAGAATTTAGAAGTAATTAGAAACTCAATCCTTTTTAGATGCTTAAACTTCATAAAAATATAATTCTCACTTGTTTGAACTGCTTGTAGATCACTTTGCTGACTGGGTCTGAGATCCTGATTTTCCCTGCAAGAATGGAGGCCAACATGTTCCCCAAAGTCACCATCCCGAGGATCATGCTGGAGAGAGAATCAGAAATGACTACAGACAACACTAAATATACATATATTTTTTCTGCTTTAAAAAGTGAAACTCACCCTGCCTCATCCACTACAGGGGCTTGGTCGAATCCTTTCTCTTTAAGGATTTTTATTGTCTTTTGGCAGGTGACACTTGGCAGTACAGTTAGCGGAGCTGACAAGTTCAGACCCTGCAGTTTCAGGTTCCACCACCTGCAAAAAAGAACAAGAGTTTTATTTTTGTAAACAAAATTTTAACACGGGACACTAAAAAGTTCAGCACATACCAAGGTTTTTTCACCATCAAGTCCTCCTCACTTAGGAAGCCCTTCTGAACCATCCACTTGTCACTCAGAAACTTGGACCTTAAAAGGACAAAAACAAATTATTATTAGTTTAGGCTTGAAGAAGTCTCAAGTTGCTGTTAATATCAAGTTACTTCAACCTTGCTCTGCTCTAGTTTGTAACTGAGTATCTTACATGTAATTTCGGATAGAGTCTGGCAAGATCACAACACAGCGCTGGCCTTCTTTGAGTTCTTTGGCAACATTCACTGCAGCAGCCATAGCCGTGCCAGAGCTACCTCCTGTAATAGGATTTTAAAAAGGTTAAAAATCTTGCATTACATTCTTGAAGAGGGCCATTATTTAAGAAGTGGTAGCATTTACCGCACAGCAATCCCTCCTCTCTGATCAGCATTCGAGACATGTTAAAAGACTCCTCATCGTTGGATTTGTACCACATGTCAATAACCTGTGAAAGCATGTCATACTTAGACTCAGACTTAACTTTATTGATCCACAAAAATTATTTGGGCACAGTAGCTTACACATCACACTATAGTGGTAATAATAATTAAAAATAAAAAGTAACATGAGGAAAAAGTGCTGAACTCACTGATCTGTCGAGCACTGTGGGGATAAAGTCGTACCCGATGCCCTCCACCTCGTACTGAGTTTTGTCGGTTTTGTTAAGCTCCTCAGGCTCGGCCAGAATAGAACCTTCTGGGTCAACTCCAACAATCTGTTAAGAAAATAAACCATTCTTTAGAAGATTGAACAGAAGCCTGCTTAGTGCTGTCGAGCACTGGTCTGGGTGAACTCTTAATAAACTGTAACAAAGAACTGGCAGTGGTGCACAAGGACAACATACTTTGACATTAGGGCAGCGTTCCTTCAGTTTACGTGCAATGCCTGTAATGGTCCCTCCTGTTCCTGCACCGGCTACCAGCATGTCAATTTTACCTATTTAATATAAAAAAGAAGATAAATTGATGTTCTAATTTAGAATGAGCATATTATTTGACAATGCACATGACATACCATCACACTGAGCCAGGATCTCCTCGGCAGTGGTGTCATAGTGGGCCAGAGGGTTGCTGGCATTACGGTATTGGTCCAGGATGTGCGAGTTTGGGATCTCGTTCTTCAGACGCCAGGCCACGCCCACATGAGACTCAGGGGAGTCAAAGCGGGCACTAGTGGGTGTACGGACAATTTCAGCTCCAAGAGCTCTCAGAACATCCACCTGCACACAGAACATAGTATTTTAGTGCTAATGAAAAAAACATGAACATGTAAAGCAACAAAACTTTAATCTTCACCTTCTCCATGCTCATTTTTTCAGGCATGACAATGATGCAGCGATAGCCTTTCACAGCAGCAGCCAGAGCCAACCCAATTCCTAGAAAGAACACACATTTTAGAATATAACTAAAAGCTCCCTGGATGACTTCAAACGGTCAAGCACCTGTATTTCCAGAAGTTGGCTCAATAATTGTGTCTCCAGGCTTAAGGATCCCTGCTCTCTCTGCATCTTCCACCATGCGCAGGCTGATCCTGTCCTTTACACTGCCTCCAGCGTTGAAGAACTCACACTTTGCCACTGGAATAAAAATGTTAAGCAAGAGGAAACATGTTGAGATTTTGTTTACCAGTCAGTCACGCCTTGAAAAAAAAAAAAAAAAAAAAAAAAAAGGTTAGAGGATGACTCACAGATTTCACATTTGAGTCCAAAAGCTTTGGGGATCTTGTTGATGCGCACAAGGGGAGTATCTCCAATACGATGGAGGATCGTTGGCAGAATAGATGGATTAGGCGGCCTGAAAACAAAGTAGGACAACAGCTGTTAAAAAACTGCAAAATAGTTGGAATTCACCAGAAATAAGGAAAACAAGCAAAGCAGGTAATACAAAGCATTACAAGGTTAGACTGACTTGGGGACATGGGTGTGGGGAGAGTCTGCTTTGGAGCCGCCGATGCTCCAGGTGCAGCGGCTGGGGAGGTCAGGGCGGATCCATTTCCTCTCCACAGCCCCAGTCTTTGTGTTGATTTGAATAGTTCTGCTGGTGTCCTCTGTGGCTGGCAAGTCCTGCTTAGACTTATCCACACCGTTGATTGGGAAAGGTTTGGTGTCTCCGTTCAGGATCTTGGCAGCGTGTGGGCACACCGGGCTCTCTTTGGACAAAGGAACTGATGGCATGATTTTACCTGAAAATAAGCAAAAACATATTAATCAAACGCAACTTTTCAATTGTAGCACACTCTTGTCAGGCCTGAGCAAACAGTTAAACACAACAATATGACTGTTGTTATGCAATGAGCCGTTAAGGAGTGTTTTGAATCATTAGAGCAAAGTCATGATGATAAAACAAATCAGACAAGCTCTGCCTCAAATGTGCACCTAGAGTGCGACTAGGGTAACATTGCATCATTCACTCAAACAACTATTGAAACCAATGAGCTTTACAACATATTAACAAGGAAGTTACTCACTCACTATCTGTTTAAAAGAAAGTTTATCTTATCTTTAACATCATTATTAGGTTAAGTTAATTGCTAATAAAATAAATTGCTCTTTGGAAAAAAATTGGGAGCAGAGGATAAATCAGGACCCAAGTGAGTGAGTTCAATGCTATTTGCTCATCTTAAGTTGAGCTTTACTAATAGAAAGTTCAAACAGGAGCCACTAAGAGCAGTCCTCTAATGAACAATCCACATAATCTTGCTTGAATGAACAAAACAATATTTACATTTTGTGCTTTTAAGAGGTCTATACTGTATATATACTGAACAGGAGTCAGCCCATACATGTTTAGAGCAACACATGAAACCTGAGGTTATAAGGAGATCAGATTTATTTATTTTTTTTTCCTAACGGGAATTAAATAACTTCAACAAATCATCTTATTGTATTAGTAACACCAGACAATTGAATATGCTTATTAGGAAGTCCCAAAAAGTGGTTTATCTGATTAAGTGCTGGGTTTAAATCTGCAATGGTATGCCATGAGTCCATATTAAAACTTTTACAAGGCTTTACAAGGCTTTTACAAAACATAGAGAGAAAGACCACACTAGAGATTACCCTACCCATCCACCCATGATAAAAGGGGGCAAATGTGAACAGCAGGAATGTTGGTTATATAAAAACAATATGGAAACGTGAGGGGTCTGCTTGGGTCTCACGTTCGCACTCTACCATGAGGTCAAGGCTAATTATGGCTTACACACAAGCCAGCAGCTTTAAAGACGACTCTCAACTCTTCTCATTGCAAACACCATAGTACAAGATCAGCTAAGGAAAAATGATGATGAATTATTTGTATTATGTAAGAAATCAGATCCACACAAATCATAATTACCATCTCAAGGGATTGTATATTTTATAACGACAAAACACAAATTTGTAGATTAAAACCGCGTAAATGGCTGGGATGCCGTTTATAGCAGGGCTAGACATGAGTGATGGCCATAGACTGAGTAAGATATTTGGAATGAAAATAAAACAGACCGGTTAGGTTATTCAGGGACAACAGTGAAGAACAATTTTCTCTTTTCAAATCCCCCTAAAATAACACTGCATCACTGGTACATCAGTGGACATTTTCCTGTTGAGTTGAAGCTATTTTTGTTGGAGATGCGATCCGGGACTGCGCAGCGCATCATTGCATCAGACTGGTGACGGGAATGGGGTCTAAGAGCGCATTAGCCGCTCCACATACAAGATCACATGTGCTACGTGTAGCTACATCTACCCTAGCCGATTCAGATGACAGCCCGAGAGCATCTTTTCACTCACCTGATTACTGAAGGCGACGGTGATGAATGACCCGAGCCAACACAGACGCAAGCGTGAGCCTCGGAAAACACTGCGGAGTGTTCAACTTCCGACAAAGCCAGCAGTTTTCGTGACGAAGCACGTGGGTCAAACGAGGAGGACGTGGGCAAAGTTAAATGGCTATATCCCATTGGTTGTGACGGGGGCGTCTGTTTGGTCTTCTGAGCCAATCAAAGGGGCGCTTTCTCAATAAGGTTTGGGAAAACGCAGTGGTGTACAAATAGTGTTCAGCATGTGTTTACTTTTTATTGGCACATGCAACTTGAACCTGGGCGCATGAGACATCTTGAAAGCTTCACATCTGTTATCAGTATTATGACTATTCTTTTTTTTTCCTGCCACAGAACAAAAGTAATATTTTTTCCACTATGCAATAAAAAAATAAAAAAAGATAAGATAAAACCAAAAAAACACAGAGTTACAAATCTGTTTTTATTGAGAAAGCGACACAAGCTCGATCTTTAAAAAAAGGGAATAAAAGGAAAACAGTTAACAATTCACAAAAAAAGAAAATAACTGTTGTTACAGCTATGGATAATTGGGCAAGATTTTGGACAGTTTTGCTTCCTTTAGAATCTTCCAGAGCGCTCCCGATCCCTCGATCTGCGCTTCTCACGGTCCCTCCGCCGATCCCTGGAGCGAGAACGTCGCTCCCTAGAACGAGAGCGAGACCTGTGCCTGGTGGGACAACAAACATTACATTCTTTGGACACTTTTCTTCAAAGCATATTTTAAACAATTTAAATACATTTTTACCTTTTCCTTCGCCGTCCGTACAACTCCCTTCGAAGTTCCCTTGAAATAGGTTTCAGATGCATAAAATTGCAGAATCCACCTCGAGTGCATTCCCTGTTTAACACAAAAACAGAAATGCTTAAAGCATTCTGGCACTTGTGCCAAATTCCAAACATGTTAAAGAGTATGCCAGACCATCTTACCAATACCCACATTTGAACCAAGCTCATCGTAAACCACCAGTGGAAAGTTACTGCCGCACTCATAAAAGGAGTTCACAACAACAATACAAGGATAACATTATCTCTCCATTTGGTACAAAACGTGACAATGACCACACTGCTGTGGTCATTTACTTCGATCCTTACTTAGACAACAAACTTTATTGATCCACAAGGGAAATCACTTGGATACAAAATACACACAATACACAAAACTGATAGATAAGCAGGATTTATGAGCATAAAGAGTCAAACTGAAACGTTATACAATTATGTTCTCTGTGTTCTTTTGCTTTAGTTTGGTTACATACCATGTCTCATCATCAAGACCAAGCCTAGCGAATGCAAAGGCTAATATGGAGAAAGTGTCATTTAATTAGACACACATCTTGAACCAAGAAATAAGGGCGACATGTATCAAACTGACATCAGTATCGAACGATTCAGTCTCATATGGAGTACTGTTGTGTCCCTACTTCAGACATTACTATTCTTCATAAATTGACAGTATTGACATATGCAGTTCTGTGTGAACCTTGGTCAACTGGAGTGTTCATAACTGTCCAAACTCAACAGTGAGAAAGTACGTTGAAGATACTGACCCCATTTCATACTGCCGACAGCAGGCTTCCCTGAAGTCAGTGACAGGGGACAGTTCCGCGTGGATAGGCTGCGCATTAAACCACCGATTATTCAGGTCCATGACTGCTTTCTCTGCATCTTCCTCACGACGAAACTACATTACAAAAGTCCCATTTAGCATCAAAATATACATTTGGGGGGAAAAAAACAAGCATTGACAGTTACCTTAACATAAACATTGCCCACGAGGTGATCGCCAAGGTTGTCACAGACGTTCATTTCCTCCACCTCTCCATATTTTTCCTCCATTTCTGTGAACACCTCCTATTTAAAACACAGAAGCATTAGAACGCAACATCAACAAAAAAATGATCTAATCAATTTAAACTGGATTAGTTTTAACCACTTTGGGTCAGTCTGTCTTTTGACTGGTAGATAACAGGCTCATCTGACGTCATGAAATCCAAAAAAATACAAAGTGGGCCATGAAAATGGGGAAAAAGGCCACTGACCTCAAAGAACTCATCATAGTGCTCCTGCATTTCCACATCGCTGACAGCACCTGAAAAATGTAAACAGTCTAGTTGAACACAGTAAAACACAGCACAGTTTAGAAGTGATAATTAAAACTGCTTAGCACGGACCATCTGCAGGAACAAAACATACTGCTAATTTCTTTAACTGTCACCAGAAGAGATTACAGTTCTGTGACATGTTTCATCAGCATATGGGCCATAAAACAAACATGCCAAACAGCATGTGGATAGTTACTATGTCCAGGAAATGACATGGTCCACTCTGCCCTAAGCCAAATTAGGTCCAATCCACTGGGACGTGTTATTTTAAATCAAGAGCAGTCAGTGCCAGAGGGTCCTGCAGATAAAGGGAAGACTTACAGTGTAAACCATCGGCAGACTGGGCAGAGATTTCAAGGTAATGAAGGTAAATGTTCAAGAGGGGAATGGTCTGAAATACAAAACGTAAACTTTTGTGACAAAAATCCACCAATGCTTAGAGCTGGGGAGGAAAAATATGATTAGAGTTTGGAAGGGTGACAAACTATACAAGAAGTTTGGAATGGTTGCCATGTTGATGTGTTTTGGATATGTATTTTAAATCCTGCAAATCATTGTGAGATGTGTAATGATTAATAAATAAAACCATGAAGCAATATATTAAATTATTGGCAATACTGTGAAATGCACAATAGTCTTATCAGCTTTGGCTAAAGGAAGCTTGTTTACACTAAACAAACAGGAATCGCTACTAAAAGGTCTTTCACAGAGGAGCGTATTGCTTCGTAATCATGAATGTGTGAATGAATGGAGTTTATTGCGGCTTGTCTAATCAGAGATAACATATCTCCAGGTAACCAAACGGAAGTACCAAGAACCAGTTATATATCTATTGAAGAGCTACAACTAAAAAATACTATTTCTAAACAATACTTCCAGAGATATGTTTTTACTTACAGCGAGAGGCGTCTGCTGTCTGGGCACTGTTCTGGGGATTACGGTAGATGTTCTGAATCAAGATCGTCTGCAGAAATCACAGTTATAAAAAGTATAAAATGTTAAATTAAAACATATGTATGAGGACTTTTTGAAACTGGACACAAATAAGAACTACAACATAATAAAAATAAGAAATACAATATAATAAGAAATAAGAAATACAAAAAACAAATAAAAATACATCATAATATAAAACATACGCGTTAGGAAAAGAGTTTTGGGATACCAACCTGGCTGAATGTTGGTTTGTTGTGCAATCGTGAGCAGCGGTCA